TGAAAAGTCTTGCTTAAAATTCAACAATCAAAAAACTAAGATCATGTCATCCAGTACCATCACTTCATGGCAAATAGATGGGGAAAAAGTGGAAGTAGTGACAGACTTTATTTTCTTGAGCTCCAAAATCACTACGGATGGTGACTGCAGCTATGAAATTAAAAGATGCTTGCTCCTTGGAAGGAAAGCCAAGACAAACCTAGACAGCGTATTAAAAAGCGCAGCACTCACTTTGCCGACAAATGACCAAATAGTCAAAGCTGTGGTTTTTCCAGTAGTCATGTATGGATGTGAGGGTTGGACCATAAAGACGGCTGAACACCGAAGAACTGATGCTTTTAAATTGTGCTGGAGAAGATTCCTGAGAGTCCCTTGGACAGCAAGAAGATCAAACCAATCAAGCCTAAAGGAAATCAACACTGAATATTCATTGGAAGGACTGATGCTGAAGCCGAAGCTACAACATTTGGCCACCTGATGCGAAGAGCCGACTCACTGGAAATGGCTCTGGTGCTGGTAAAGGTTGAGGGTAGGAGGAGAAGGGGATGACAGAGGATGAGATGGTTGGATGGCATCACCGACTCAGTGAACATGAGTGAGTAAACTCGGGGAGATAGTAAAGGACAGGGAAGAGTGGCGTAACTGCACTTCATAGGGTCGCAAAGAGTCGCACAGGACTTTGCGACTGAACTACAACAAAGTAATTTTCAGCGAGACGGAGACAGGCTCATTGCAGGGCGGGACTCCGGCTCCTCGGGGCGGGACTCTGCCTCCTAGGGCGGGGCGGAGGCTGAGTGGGCGGTACCAAAGCTCTCCTCGAGGCGGGGGGTGGGGAGGCAGGCTGGGCCCGCGCGAGATAGTAGGGGCGGAGCCAGGACTTCCCCGCCGCCGCTCTATGGACCACGCCCACCGCCACCCGGCAGTAGTTGTGGGGGTCAGCCCCGCCTCTTCCTCTTTCCCTCCGAGAAGGCAGCGGAGGCGGACTATACAGCCATGGTGAGTGCGGAAAAATCGGAAGCCATCCGCGTACTGTGGGGCTCAGGGGCTGGGATGGAGGGCTCATGGCGAGACCTGAGAACCCATCTGCCAGCCTGACCTGTGGGACGCGTTGCGAAGTGGCCTAGTGCCACCTCAGTCTTCTCCCCACCTCAGGTCCGGGCCCCGAGAGGTATGCGCGGGCTCCCGGGGCCCCCGTCTTTCCGTCTGCTGAATGGCAGTAGGGGCCCAGCCTCGCAGCAGGACTGGGCGAGGGCGCGTCTGCTGGAGTCTGGGTTGCCCTGCCCGAGGCGGGTAGTTCTGGGTTTCCGGAGCCCTCTTGGCCCAGGGCAAGGCGCTCGGCTCCGAGGGGCGGACCACGACGCAGGTGGAGAGGAGGTGTTTGACGCAAACCCTCTCTGTGGGGCAGGCCAAGATTAAGGCTCGAGACCTTCGCGGCAAGAAGAAGGAGGAGCTGCTGAAACAGCTGGAGGACCTGAAGGTGGAACTGTCCCAGCTGCGCGTGGCTAAAGTGACAGGCGGCGCGGCTTCCAAACTCTCCAAGATGTAAGTGAACTGGCGGCCAGAGTACGGGGACACACGTAGGGGACTTTCTATGTTGGCTTAAGGAGTTGTTCTTTTAACTGCCCTTTACATGGCTCCGTGGGTCAGAATGTGGCGCCATTTCTGTTCAGGCTCTTTAGGTGCCTCTTTCTCACTCCGAGGCTCTGGCGACCCGTGCCTTTACCTGCTTTTGACCTGTGGTCCTTTTTCCTAGAGTAACGGCTTCACTGTCTAGCGGAAGAATTAAGTGCCCCCAAAGTCCTGTTTTAATGCTTCCTTTGCATGTAATTGATCCCATTCCTCTATCTCCCACCAGCACATAATGTTTTTCCTCAGCCTCTTTGGCTTGTTTGCGGGATCCTTTGCACCCCTTATTTTAGTTGTAGTGTAAGTTACTGATGTATGGGGAGGCAAGAATCAAAACTTGAGAAAGGAACATAAGTTTGGAGTTAGTCAGCCAGGGCATAACAACCCATGTCTTTCCCCTCTCCTATAAAATGGGCCCCCAGTAATTTTCTCATGGTGGTGCATGCTGAATCAAGAGGATGTTTACCAGCCATTTACTGATCAGCCCTCTTTCAGCATGAGGACATGTTTCATTTATCCCCAGCTTTTTGTCTTCAGCCTTGTCCCCTCCCATTGGCCCAGTTTGTGGCATGGTTCCCTCCAGTGAGCTTATTCAGATCCACATTGCTTAGATCTTCTTTGTAGCCCTAGGATATATGGCCAGGGATAAAAGGTCTTTCCTGGCTGCCCTTCACTTCCCCTCATTAAGCTTCACTGAACACTTCACAGCTCTTCGAAAACAGTTTGTGCCAGCTGCTTCATGTCCCCTCTCCTGGGATGCTCATGTATTGCCTCCAGAACACCCTCCTGGGCTGGGTTAGGCACCTCCTGGGTGAATGTGGGTGAGCTGATGGGGAATGCCCCTGCCCTGTAACATCTGGGTCAGGCCCTGAAATAGATAACTTGGGGAGTGCTGTGTGTCTTACCCATCTTCACTGATTGTGTCTTGTTTTGTAGCCGAGTGGTTCGTAAATCCATTGCCCGTGTACTGACCGTCATTAACCAGACTCAGAAGGAGAACCTCAGGAAATTCTATAAGGTTAGTGGAGAAGGGATAACGGTGCTGGGCTACAGGGAGCAAAATTCCAGCTCTCCCTAGGCCCAAGGGGTGGTATGGTGAGCTCTGGCTGGGGTGCTTAGAACTGGGCTTTCTAGAGCCTTCTAGCATGTGGCATGCAGACTGCATGCAGCTGCAGTTGTCAAGGAATCAAAGATGTGGGAGTCTGGATAGAGTTGGATTTTGAATAAAACCTCACCAGCTGGGTGAGTTTGGGAAGTCTATGAGGATTGACTGTTTAAATGTTTTAATTGTCTTGGTGTGTCCGTCACCACCAAGCATCTGGCATTCTCATTTTTCAAATGAGGACCTCAAGACTTGGGTTAGGTTGCCTGGCATCACTGACATGCAATAAACGAGTGATTGGGCTTAGATTCCAACCCATAGGGTGGGGGTGGATTGAGTGCTTCCGTGAGATTACAACAGGTGCCTGCCTCTCACAGCCTGGAGTTTTTAACAACTGTTTTCTGGGTGTTGTGCCTAAAACTAGTATTAAGCTATGAAACTAAATCAGTGGGAGATTTTATAGAATGTGTACACACACATGGCTTCCCTGATAGCTCAGTAAAGAATCCGCCTGCAGTACAGGAGACCTGGGTTGGGAAGATCCACTGGAGAAGGGACAGCCTACCCACTCCAGTATTCTGGCCTGGAGAATTCCATGAACTGTATAGTCCATGGGGTCGCAAAGATTCCGACACAACTGAGCGACTTTCACTTCATGCACACATTTGGTTTACTACAAGGGAATGACTTGTTTGTTTGTGGAGGAGCTGCCCTCTGTCCGCAAGAGAGGATCCTGAGCAAGCAGAGCTAAAAGATTTGGTTGAAGCTGCTGCCCTCAGGTGGGATTTCTTGGAGAAAGTCACATCCTTGCCTTTAAGGCCTTTCAGCTGATTAAAGCAGGCCCACCCAGATTACTCTATAATCTCTTGAAGATTACTGATTAGGGGGCTTTGACTGCAAAATGGCTTCACATCAACACCCAATTAAGTGTTTGAATGACTGGAGGGTTTGACATGTCAAAGTCGCCACTGTGTGCTGGGCTTGCTGCCATCCCCGGACATGTGTACATTTGTGTGTGTGGGTTTTTCTGAGAATTGGGTCTGGAACGTTTATCAGGCTCTGAGGGAACCTTGCAGAGGTATAGCCTGGAAGAACTGCCTCCATGACCATCCAGTGAGTACACTCTACCATACAGCCAGGCAGGGCTCCAGGCGGTAGAGATGAGGTCTCTGTATCAGCACTTTTTGATACATTAACCTCTGGCCCCCTGTTCCTGTTCCATGGTTATAGTGACTGAAGGATGTAAACAGCGTGTGTGGCTCTGGCTACTTTCTTGGACATCAGAGCTCTAGGTGCTTAGCAGATTGGAAGCAAGAAGCCCTGACCTGTGTCAGCTGGTATGAGGGGTGTGGATAGGCAGACTTTCAGGTTCCCACCAGAGCTTGCCCTCATCTCCTGTGTAGCTTTTTCCCTGCAGTTCTCTGCACCAAGGCTGTTCATGTCCTGAACCCCATTAACTCACACTCGCCTGCCCTGCGCCTACCCTTCCAGGCTGTTGGCACTTCCCAGCCTGAGCTGTCACTCTCCAGGGCTTTCATGCCTGCTCAGGTTTCTCGCTTTCGAGGCTGTTGTCAGTCATGAGTGAAACCTTCCTCAATCTCTTTCCTCCTCCCCAGCTACGCACCACTTGTTTTTTGGTGGGCTGGGAACTCCTTGAGCAGGGAGCAGGTCTCATTTGTGGCTAAGCCAGCACCCAGGACAGGGCTTCAAATGGAAGAAGCCCCAGGGGGTCTTTGCAGAACAAAGGGGACCATCAGAGCTGCCTTAGCATAGACTGGCAGGGGAGGAAGTGGAGTGAGAGCAGAGATGGAGAGATGATCCATCTCCTTTTACAGGCCTGAACACAGGAGCCAAGGTAGGGAAATTTGCCCCTCGTAGCAGGATGGCCTTGGCCAAGTCAGATCTTCTCCTTAGATGCATGTGTTCAGTGTTACGGTCACCACAGGTACCTAGCAGACATCTCCGCGACACACACTTCCCTCAAGTTACTTCCTGACACCTCAGTTCCAATTTCTGGGGCTTCCTGAGGTATTGCAGTAGCTCCCAAACCCTGGTCCTCAGGTTCCGCTTGCTTCCCCTCACCCAGGGCAAGAAGTACAAGCCCCTGGATCTGCGGCCCAAGAAAACACGTGCCATGCGCCGCCGGCTCAACAAGCATGAAGAGAACCTGAAGACCAAGAAGCAGCAGCGGAAGGAGCGGCTGTACCCCCTCCGGAAGTACGCAGTCAAGGCCTGAGCTTCCGGCTGTCAATAAAACAGACAGACCACTGGCTGGCGTTGCTTTGTGTTTATAGGGGCTTCAGTTGTTGGGGAGGTGGCTGTGGTTACCAGGCGCCCGATGGACTCCAGCACACTTGCTGCCCTGGCCGTAGGGATCTGTTGGGTGCTCTATTAAGGTTATTTTGGGCCTGTGCCTCCTGGGCATGGAGAGGCGGTGGAGATCTGTGGTGGGCTTGGCATTTTGTCTAATCAACAGCTCCAGACACTAAGAGTTTCCCGTCTGGCATAAAGGCACAGGCATGGGCCACGTTCAGAACTCCCTGCCGAAAGCATAGTATTGGGCCCTGGGGTTGCAGGCCTCCCCAGCGGACCTTCCACTGCACCCTTGTTTGCTTTGGCCATGGACCTTACCTTCAGAGTCTCAGTGCACTTTCCTGTATTGCAGTCCCAGACTTTGACCTGGAAATAAAAAGGTGAAGGGTAGGGAAGTCTTACTGGCTGGTGTCTTTTGACCAAATTTTGTTGTCTGTGAGATGTGTTTAACAAGGGCTGCATAATACGTAGACATTCAGTGCAGTATTTTCTTTGCCCTGAAGTTGAGTCAGAAATGTCAGCAGCACTATTTGGGCCAGTGCAGACATGAGTGCCAGGCATTAGGTACAGAAGTGGTTGGTATCTGGGTTCTACCTACCCCTGGTAGCCTTCTACTGAGGGCAGATAGGGAAGTGGACATTTCTGGACCTGCTGAGGGCTCTGGGAGGAGGGATTTGGGGGTAGGGGCTGGCAGGAAGGCAGGCCTGGAGGGGCTTACCATGTGGGAGTAGCCAGCGCTGGCCAGCTGCTGCTCATCAGGGGAGAAAGCTATGCTCTTCACCCAGGTGATGTGGCCCTTGAGCTGGATGAGCACGCTTCGCATTGAGGGCTTCCAGATGTGAATGGTCTTGTCCCAGGAGCCAGATGCCTGGACAGCAGACAGCTCTGAGCATATAGGTTCGGGGACTGCATCCTCTGTCCCCCAAGTAGCCCATGACCCTCGGTTGCAGTCGGCAGGCAGCCCAGCTCACCAGTAGGCCAGATGGTGAGTAGCACAGGCAGCTGATGTTGCCTCTCTGACCCTCCAGCTTCTGATGGAAGATCCCAGGGGTCCCTGCCCGGAGGTCCCACATGCGGATGGTAGAATCCCAGGAGCCAGTGGCCTGCAGACAGCTGCCCTGAGCATGGAGCCTGCTTCCTCAGCTGGCTATGCCCACGGGAAGCAGGTACCAGCTCAGAGGAGACAGAAGAGCTAAGTCAAGGTGTGGGATTTTAACCACTCTGGCCCAAGTGGGAAAATGGGTGTGGGCTCCCAGTTGCCTTATCTTGTTGGGGCCAGGGCAGAGATGGCTCACCAGGCAGTCTGAGCTGGGTGCGAAGTCACTGCTCTGGACAGAGTCTCGGTGTCCCACGAAGTGACGCAGCACCTGGCCTGACTGGAGGAGAGAGCCCTGAGTTTGGGAGAGCTCCACCTCGGATGGGTCAGACCCCAGGCCCTCCATGCCGGCCTGCCTGGCTAGTTTCATGCTGCGTAGGGGTTGGGTAGTCTTCCAGGGCCTTGACAGAAGAGGAGGGGGCACTTCATGGCAGAGGAGTTGGGGTACAAGGGTGGGTGGGAGGGTACCTGGGGAGGTGGCTGCAGCTAGATGCAAGGGAGTGGAACACCAGGTGTGCGCATGGGCAGTGGCGAAGATGGAACAACCTTTCCTGGTTGGGAAAGTGTGACCAGTGAGGAGGGCCTCTTGGGATCCTAGGCCTCACTGGCTGCCCCTCCACATACCTGCACCTCCCAAAGCATCACCCTCTTGTCCCAGCCACCCGAGGCCAGCTGCTTTGAGTCATGGCTGAAGCTGACGGTCTCCACACTCCGCTGGTGACCTGTAGACACCCGCCAAGTGTCGAGGAGAGGCAAGGTGGCACAGGAGTCAGCAAGGTCTGAAAGGGAACCCAGGCCTGGCTGCTTGGCTCCCAGTCCCCCCGCCAGCCCACTCACCCTTTAGGACCTGCAGACACTTGGCATCTGCGGCGTCCCACAGGCGGATGGTGCGGTCACAGGAGGTGCTGGCAAAGAGGCGGCCATCAGGGGAGAATCGGCAGAACCTCACGGGGCCTGGGGCAGGCAGCCGTGGTCAAGGAACAGGCACTACTCCCCACGTCCGGCCCTTGCAGTCTAAACCCCTGCTGATTTTTTCAGTTGCATTGCCTACCTCCCTTCTCCTCACTCCCTTCTAACCCTTATCCTCCAGCCAGCTGGAAAATTCCTGGGCTTCCATGCCTTTGGAAGATGAATAAATCAAAAGCACCTCCCAGAAACTCCTTTCAGCCCAGCCTAGGTTCTACATTATCCTGTTTGGGCTCCCCAGCCCCTGGACTTTCCCTATTACAACATGAACCAATTTGCCCTATAACTATCAGATTTTCCTTGTCTTCTTGATTATAATTTACATTTACTGAGTTCTTACTGGGAGCCAGGCACTTTGTTTGCATTATCTCATCCTATAGGATAGCAACCATTACCCCAATTTTAAAGAAATAAGAGGCACAGAGGTGACAAGACTTCAATCACAGTCAAAAAAGTGGGTAAACAGGTGAATCTGAAGGACATTATGCCAAGTGAAGTCAGTCAGCAGAAGAAATACTATGTGATTCCACTTAGTCAAACTGGAGACAGAAGGCAGAACAGCGGTTGCCAGGGGCTAAGGAAGGGAGGAATGTGTTCAAGGGGTACAGAGTTGCAGTTTTGCAAGATGAGAGTTCTGGAGACCAGTTGCACAACAAAGTGAACATAAGGCTACTGAACTGTACACTTTAAAGTGATAAATGTAGTATTACCTAGATTTATGTGGTAGAATTTGAGTCCAGGTCTGTCAGAGTCAGGCTCAGGACCCAAGGGACCAGGTCCCATCTCCTTGCCCTCCTGCCCCAGCCCTGCCGGTGCTATCTTGCTGGGATGCCCAGCTCAAATGCTGGTAGACTCTGCGGGATGCCGGAACAGGTCCATGGGCCTCAGTCTCCCCATCTGGGCTGAAGAGCCTCACCTTTGTGGCCACCCAGTCTCCACAGCAGCCTCCCACTCTGAGTCTCCCAGCCATATACACAGCCGTCCTCGGAGGCCGTGAGCAGCCTCTGGCCATCGGGAGAGAAAGCAGAAGAGTTGACCTGGAAGGAAAGTACAAAAGGCCTATCCCAGGGCAAGAAACACTTTCTGCTCATGCCTAACTCCAGACTCCTAAGCCTGCCCTAAACACTGCCCCAAGAGCCTGGGGTCGGAGCTTGGACTTCAGGACTCTCAACAACCAGAACCCAGGAACCACTCTGCAGTAGAGTCAAGAGCTTGGAGCCTTCTCTGCTGTCTTGTAAAACCAGAGCCTGAGGCTCAGAGCTAGCCTTTTTTTTTTTTTTTTCTTTTTTAGAGCTAGCCTTTTTTAGAAGCCAAGATCCCGTTTTAGAATTGGAGCCCAGAACTAGTTTAAAATCTGCTCTATGCTCTGAGTTCCCTCTTAAGCCAGAGTCCAGAGAACACTGGAATCAGCCAGTAGTTTGAACCCTCTCTGGAACCACAGCTTAGAATTCTAGACCCCATTCTGCAACTGGAGCTCAGGAAACAATCTCCCACTACGCAGAACCAGAAACTACTCGAAAGCCAAGAAGCCCAAGGTCTTTCTGGGGAGAGCTCGACAGAACCTCACCTCCCCGCGGTGCCGGCCGAAGAATTTCACTCTCCCCACGGCCAGCTTCCCTCGGGTCCCGCTGTTCATGGGCCCGCGGCCGCCCGCCCCGGCGGGCTCCCTCCTAGGCGGGCGCTGGTCCGGCCTGACCTAGGACAAGGTGGAGGGGAAGGGGGAAACTGTGTACAAGCGGTCTCCATGGCAATCGGGGCGGGGCGCGCAGCCGCTTTGGGGTCTCTGGGAAGCCATGAGAAGGGAGTCCGGGAGAGACTGTTCTCAGCCCGGGGGAAGTGGGACAGCAGCAGGCAGGTCCGCGGATGGCTCCAAGAAGGAAATTGCCTGCCCGGACCGCTGGCAGTCGGACCTTGGGCAGCTCTGGCCGCGGGGCGGGGTGGCGCCCGGCGGCCGCTAGAGGGCACGCCAGCACCGCATACCGCGTCAGCCTCTGTGGCTGCACCGAATCCAGCCAGGCTCGGCGCTAAGGGTCCACAAGCCTCTTGGAGAGGTTCCTGTTTCCCCATCTGCCCAATGGGGAGTCCCATCCCTGCCCCGCAGGGATCCAGGCGTGACATAATATAGGTGCCCGTGAGGGCCTACCCAGGACCAAAGACCCCTTTCCTTCAGGAGTGGCCAGTACCGGGGCGGAAATGCTCCCATTGAACCGCTGGAAATGATGTGATATTTAGATATTCATCTCAGCCCTCCAGGATGTGGAGAGCCAGAGACAGTATGCAAAGCACAGGACGTTAAAAAGTGAAGTCGCTGATAACCTTCCCAGTAGCACGAAGTGTTCCATCTGAGGACGTGGCGGCAGACCCCAGGAGTTGTCAAGATCCTTGGTGGAGAGCTCAGAAAGAACAGGGCTTGGTGTCAGTGTGCATTTTTCAGATGAGGAAACTGAGGCTCCAGGAGGTGGGGGGACTTGCTCAAGGTCACTCAGTCAATAGGAAAGGAATTGGGACCTCATCCTATGTCTCTCTGACCCTGAGGCCACCTGCCATGAACACAGGGGCCTCACAGCGGATGAAGTATCTGACTCCTGGTACATCTGGGAAACTGACCCTGGGGAGACAGACTTGGTCCAGTCATCCAGCATTTCCATGGCAGAGTTGGGGGCAGAACCCAGCCCTCTCCCCACCATTATACAGGGGTGGGAGTAAGATACCCCGCTCTCCCACTTTCCAGTGGATTCCAGGCTCCCCGAGAGTGGGGCTGGGGCAGCTGGGCTTTGAGAGTTTCAAACTCAAGTGAAGTGTTCCCAGTGGTGATTCACACCCCTCCCCCCAGGCCTCTTCGCCAGAAATGCTTCTCACGGAGATCTGCTGTTCTCCTGCTCTATTTTAGGTCCTAGACAGTCAGGCGGACAAGGGGGCGACAACGGTGGCTTTGAGGCTACCCCACCCCCACTCCAACTCCCAAAGGGCCCAGTTCAGTGAACTGGCCCCCCGGGGACCCATCCGGTCCCATAGGGCCGCCTCTGCCCCCGCCCCGCCCCAGCTCCAGACTTGGGTCCTGAACGCGGCCCCCCATCGCTGACTCCCCAGACCCTCTCCTCCCTCTCTGCTTAGGCAGCCTGCAGCCCATGCCCCAGCCACCTCGTTGCTCCTGCTTTAGCTGAAGTGCCCAGAACCACACCTCCCCAAGCTCACCCGTCACTCCCAGAGTCCTCTGGATAGACCTTGTCCACCAGACCCCGCAGCCACTCAGCCTGTAGCAGTGTGGCTGGGGTTAAAACATTTCTGCTTGACCCAGGGGTCTGTGGTTGGAATCACCCACAGTGAATTCCGGGTCCCTTGGACCAAGCATCATGTTCACCTCTCCTGCTTCATTCTGCCCATTGTTTCCCTGTCCCCTACCCCATCTAACTCCCTGAACTTATCCACAAGGGGCCCTTCTCCTTCCCTGCATCTTCACTCCCACCCTGGGCCTGTGCACATGGGGTTTCCCACCCTCTAGGTCTGATGCTTACCTTGGGTTCATTGCTTTCCCTGGATGGACTTCCTTTGCCCAGCTCCCAGACTAAGTCAGAGCTCCTGCCCCAAAGATGGGGCACTAAAGTCATGATTCTGGGTTAAACCCAGGTTCTGCCCACTACTAGCTCTGTAACCCTGGGTAAGCTAACAGGTCACTCGGTGCCTTGGTTTCCTCATCTGTAAAATGGGAGTGGTTGCCTTGTCAGGACTGACACGGTACCTGTTAAGAGTACCTGGTGTGCAGTAAGTGCTCAGAGAAGGGGAGGGGAACGTGATATCCATCTTTGTCACTTTACCTTCAAATACTTTAGGCTAAAGCTCCGAATGCCCTTCGTCAGGCTCCCGGTGCCCTAAGTCATCACCTGAAGGGCCCACAGCCCAGGTACACCTCATGATGTAGGGGAGACCTTGTAATCAGGAGCTGTCTGGCTTCATGCTCAGCAGGGGCTGAACGTATGGCAAAGCCTGGGTTTGGGCAGGGGCTGAACCTGCAGGATGTGGTCTGTGGCAGCATGGGAAAGGAGCGGGCATGAGTGGGTCACAGTTACAGTGGCAGCAGAAGTATTTCACTGGCCCCGGGGGGGCTTGAGTCACTCAGAATCTAACCTCTCCAGGAGAGTCTTGAGGGATATTTTCCACCCCTTGACTGTCTCTTCCTTCTCCAAGAGCCTGCCACGTTCTCTCCTCCCTCAGTCCCAACTGCCTGGGGCAAGGGGCTCTGTGCTGAGCTTCCCCACTCTCACTCCATCTCCTGAAAATAACCCATGGTTCTGGGACCAGATTTACTTCTCTTCATTTCCTCAAAGTACCTGCCTTCCCAAGCTCCTTAGTTCCTTCTGAAACTGCTGTAGATACACAGTTATGAGAAAACTGGAGCTTCCGAAAGGAAAGTGACTTGCTCAAGATCACACAGCTGGAGGGTAGTAGAGCTGAGATTCAAACCCATGTTCAACAGTCCCTAAGACCCCAGCTCATTTCTGGCACCAGACACTCTTTCAATGACGTTTGGGGAGGTTGGGGTATGAGTCTCTGCCCCAACACCCAGCCCTCACCCCCTGTGAATGAGATCTCACTATCCTGCAGGACAGCCTCTCCCATCACGCTGTTAGGAAGTCCTCGGTGAGTGAGAATCTGCCTTGCACCATCTAACAGAGTGGAAGATAGGCCCGGGCTGCATCTCCGCAGTTCTCCTCCCAGGGACACATCCAGTGCTGTTGGTGTTGTAGTTCTGGAAGGCTGGAAACGACCCGAAGAGTCATCTGACAAAACGCTCAGCAAAAAAGCAACATGGCAGAAGGCACTACAAGTAGGATCCCCCTCATATAAAAGTCAACATACCAAAGGCTACCTTCCGTTTCTCAGGCACACATCCATATATACTGAAACTATAAAGAAAAGCAGGAATAGGTAACTCCCAGCCCACTAGAGGATTAAGTATGGAGAGAAGGAGGGAGGGGACTCAGCCACCTTGAAGAGTACTTGTTCCTGGTAATATCTGGGACTGCAGCAGGGCAGTGGGTACCCAGGTGTCCTTTGGATTATTCTTTAATAACTGGCTCTACCTATTTGACCCCTGCCCACCTCTCCTGGCTTCCCTGGTGGCTCAGTGGTAAAGAATCTGTCTGCCAATACAGGAGACATCGGTTTTGATCCCTGGGTCAGGAAGATCCCGTGGAGAAGGAAGTAGCAACCCACTTCAGTATTCTTGCCTGGGAAACCCCATAGACAGAGGAGCATGGCGGGCTGTAGTCCATGGGGTCGCAGAGTCGGACGCAACTTAGAGACTAAACCACAACCACCACCCCTCCTGCCTTCTCCCGGCTTCCTCACCTCTCTCATTTCTTGTCCCCATCACCCCCAGTCCTGAGCAGTTTGGTGGATTATGCGGTGTCAGGGTTAGTATGAACTTTCAGACAGTGCCCCAGCAAGCAGAGAAAACTTTTGTAGCAGAAGAGTAAGCAGGAGAGAAGGGTGGAGAGTCAGATGCCCTGCTTCCTGCCAGCTTTCCAGCTCCCAGCTCCAGTCCCAAGGCTGCCTTGTCCTAAAATACACCTGTTTTCTTAAAGTACATTCCCTTTTTTTTTTGCTGAGTGAGCTCCAGTGTGGTTTAGGTTATTTGCCACCTGAAGGGCTTTGATTAAAATATCTCTGGAATTTTCATAGCTGGTCCCTCAATGTTATGCCTTTAGGACCTCCTTTCTGGGACTCCCTTGCACACGGGGATCACCTAGGCACGATCAACACCCTCCAGTCTCAGTACTTTCCCCACAACCTGGGCCACCCTTATTGGAATGCACCATACTTGTTATTGTCCCTTCTAAAGTGTGAAGGCCAGAACAGGAAACATGCTCTTTGGAGGGACTGACAAGTGACAAGTTGAAATATACTGTCATCTCCAATTTTCTCAAACTCTTGTAACGCAGCCTGCCTTACTAGAGTCACTTGTTTTCAACAGCTACACTAATCTGGTGACTCACTGTGTTTGCAGTGGGAGCTTTTTCCCATGAACTACTCTCCAGTCAACTCTCCCTGCCTGATCTGGTACTTACACAATGGATTCTTCGGAAACACGAAAGACCTTACGCTATGCTGGCTAAATGTCATCTTTCTGGATCTCATCCAGCAGTCTGGTCTTGAAAGCATTGTAAGTCTGGCTGCCACTGCACAAAGCATTAATTCTGCCGCTGCAGCAGCTGCGAACTTTATGAGTAGGCCTTCTGTGTTCTGAGTCCAAATTGTGAACATGATGGTCAACGAGATAAGGATAAGGACAGAGCCCTGTGGTCTATCACTGGATTCTCACTTTTTTGGCACCCATCCACACCCATCACTAATGGGGGAGAACCCGCTTTCCTTAGAGGTAGATTTGAGTGGAGAGGAGAGCTATGTGATCCTACCTCTACCAAGGGTCTCTGGTTGTAAATAACAAGAACCATCGACTACCAAACACGACCATAGGAGAAGGGGCTGAGTGGCAGGGTTGGGGGTGGTGGTAAATCAGAGGGAAAGGATAGGAGCCAGGGCCAAGAATTCAGGGTGAAGCCTGGATGATTCCAGGTCTTTGGAGACAGTGACTGACCCAGCAGACATCATGTGCCCACTCCTCAGCCAGTGCAGGACATCTTGATTGTCAATCCCCATGAGATCTGGACTTCCATCCCCACCTCCACCCTTCCCTGTTAATCAGTAGGGGGGTCTCCAGGTTGGTTTGAAACCAGCTATGCACCTATGGGCTCAGGGGTCAGACAGCTGCTTTCAAATCTGACTTCACAACCTACCCACTGTGACCTCAGGCAGGTTACCTAACAGCTCAG